CACAGAGTGGCTGGGGTCTCTGCACGTGCCAGGCAGGGTGAGGGCCGCCTGCCTGCTGGCCTCTCCCCCCGGCTGAAAGTCGAGGGGAGACTGCAAACCCCAGCTCAATGGAGAGACATTTACACACGTTTTATATAATATACAAAGAACCAGCATCCCAGGCGACATGACCTCCACTCCCAACGCTCTCCCAGACGGACGGGCTGGCGGGGAGACACCGCGTGAGAACACTCTGCTGAGTCTCGGCAGCTACAAAAATCTCCCCTCATTTGAGCAAACACCTGATTTCAATTTTGAAAAAGTGAAATTTGTAACAGTCACACACAAAGAGAGAAGACTGTGCATATGACAGCTGTGGGGCGGGGCAGAAAGGAGGGTGAGGAGGCCGGGGCAGGAGGGAGAAAACAAAGCGGAGGCGGAAGGGGGACTCACAGTATTATCTTGTCCAAAAGAAGGGGGGGGGGGGCAACTGCGGCCCCAGGGTGACGCCTGTCGGGGATGTGCTACCCTGCACGGCGTAACTGAACACGAGACCAGATAAATAAAAACACGCCGGATATTACAGTAAACAGGTGAAAGAAAGAAGCTGGCAACCGCATGGGATTTAAAGATTGTGTACCCCCTGGCTGGCCCAGGGCCCCTCCAGGGGTGCACAGCAGGCACAATGCACTGATGGGGGAGCCAGTCTGCCCTCGTCTCTCGTCCAGAAAGGCGTGAGGTGTGTGGGGCTGTTCCTCTACCCGGGCCTGCCTCCAGTCAGCACCCCCAAAGAAATGTGGGACATGCCCACACACAATCACAGTCCTGTCGGCCACTCCACACACCTCCTTCCACGCCTACCCTGCAGTCACGAGTGTGGGCTCCCCGCCGAGGGGTCCACTCGTGGGATCGTCAACTCCTGATTAACTGGGAGTCGAAAAAATAAAATCCAAAGATCTCCCAGGCCACCTGGGATCCTCCCTAGCCAAACTTATTGCCCAAAGCGGTGAGTAGCGATGCAACTGGCCCATCTCAAGGACCGCCCTTCTTTCCTTTGCCTGTGTCCTTCCGGGGTGCCGAGCCGGGCGAGCAGCAGGGGGAGGGGCGGTAGGCGCCCAGGGCGCGACCGGCCGGCCGCCCAGGAGCGTCCCTCCCGACCCCCGCTTGCCCTCCGCTGCCTGCTTCTCGGGGGAGACCTGAGCCCCGGCCGGGCGTGCGCTCACGGACACTCGGGGCACACCTGGCAGCCGCCCGGCGCGCCGATACCTACCTCTCCTCTGAAGCGCACAGTCCCTGACACTGCTCAGGCGGCTCGGGGCTTTGAGATGGGCTCTTTGCACTGTTTGCCTTTGAAAAGAAAACTTTAAAAAAAAATTTATTTAAAAAGATGTCCTCACGGCACAAGTGACTACAGGCTACAGGCAAGGATGGGAGACGGAGGCTTCAACACAACTCATTGCACTTAGGACCGTTACTAACCGAAACACCATTTGCTTGTCAACAATGTACCCTAACAGCAGGGAGAAACCTCTTTATAGTCTCTGCTTCAGGCAAGATTTACATCTTTCTCCAAGGCCAGAGCCAGTCACGACCACAAGTCTTGTTTCTTGTCGACCAGACCCCATCCTCTGGCACCCTGCCCCCTTCCCCAGCGAGATGCCCGGCCGAGGTTCCAGAGGCAGCTGGACGGAAGCAGCTATGGGCCCACTCAGTCCTGTTGGCCCAAATCCAGAAGCCCTAGGAAAGTCCTGTCTGAGTCTTGACTCCGGACCCCTGCAGAGGCTGGAGTCGGTACTGGTGCGCGCCCCCACTCCCGCGGTGCGGGCAGTGCTGTGAAGTGGACACTGCGGACACCCTGGAGGCCTGGCAGGCAGCCGCCTGCCCAGTGCTGGGCAGACTCATAGTCCGTAAGTCCGACGGCAACGACGCCCGAGAGTTCTGAGGAAAGGAGGCGGAGCTCAGAGCTCCTGTGCTGGACTGAGAAACCGAGTCTGAGGTCGGTGAGTCTGAGGGGCCCTGCGGGGTGGGGCTAGCAGCAGTGGAAGGGCAGCTCCTCCGCGGAAGGCTGCTGCCGGCGCTGCTTCCCGAGTGTGGCTGGCTGCTGTAATACCCTGGGGTCCCCGTAAATGGGGCCAACGAGTCCGTGGACACAGGGTGGGCAGGGCTGGAATAGGACGCAGAAGAGAGGGAGGATTCTGAAGGGCCGTGGGCGGGGGGGTTCCCAGGCCTCAGTGCAGCAGTCCGGTAACTGTATCCTGGAGACTGGGCGGGAGGGCCTCTGAAGGGGGAGGAGCTCTGCTGGAGGAGGCCCTGCGACTCTGTCCTCGGACTATCACACTGCAGGAGCTACAAAGAGTGGGAGGAAGAATGTAAGGAGACGGCGAGCTCCGGCAGGCCACGGCGGCGTGCGAGCACTCAACGACCACTGCTCCTCCTCCTCCTCCTCACGTGTTTGCTCTCCCGAGGAGCCCGAGACAGCGGCTGGCTGTCCCTGGCCACTGTAACTCCTGGTGTGACTTATTACCTGGAGGCGAGCAGATGATGGCTTTTCCCCAAGGCTGAGGAAACTATATACAAAGACGGTCTCTCGACTGCCAGGATGGCCGAGGGCACAGCACACGCGGCGCCCGGAGGGCCCTGCCTGAGCCCAGCACCTTCTCGCCTCACCTGGTAGCTGTATCTGGAAGGGCTGTAAACGGCTGCTCCTTTCGTGAGTGCGGAGCTCAGGGTCTCTGGGCCTTCTCCATCCGCAGGGTCTGGAAGGAAATAGAAGGACCAACTTGGCTTCTGAGGATCAGTGAGAAATGGTCATTGCTCATTCAAACCACCAATGCCGTCACCAACCCAAGCTGCTCTCGTGGTGACAAGTCAGGTCGAGCGCAGCATGCCAGAAGGGCAAATGGATGGCTAATTGTGGGCTATGTTTTAAGCGCCTGATCTGATTCCTGTCTCCTCCTTTGTCTTCATCCTTCATCAAGGTGGATCTCCAGGCCTCTGGAGAGGTGGGTTACAGAAAGGTATCCCTTGGGAAAAGAGCAGACAGAGAGCAAGCAATCGCCAGATCGCAAGGATGCTGAGCCCCGGGGAGCACCAGCACGACCAGCGAGGGCCTCAGCACGGGGCCCAACCGCGGAGGAAGCCGCCTCGCCCCCTGGGCATCCGGGCGCTGCACCCCGACCCTGGCTGGCAGCATGGGGCCACGGCTCACCCGAATCTTTCTCCGCGACGTTACTCTCCCACGTGGGGGAAGGCTCTCCCTTTTGGGCCACTCTCACACTGCTTCGGAGGGCCTTCGGGATGCTCCCTCCTTCTCGGAGCCGTTCTACCGACGTGGGCACCATCCTGTGAAGGCAACAGGCGTGAGTTCACCCCACGAGGCCTGGGACCCCTGAGCCTGGACAGATGAAGCTGTGGGAAGGTTCCCGTTGCGATCTCTTAAAATGACCTCAAGCTTCAAGTTCTTCAGGCCCAATTCCAAACAAGGTATTTGATCCCCTCAAACTATGATCGGTGTACATGAAAAGCCACTTTTAAAGAAGAAATCAAGGAAAAAAATATGTAAAGATGTCATCTTTTCCCACAGCCCCATCATGAAAGGCTGACACCCCTCTTCTGCGAAGGCAAGCGCCTGGCACGTGGAGGGTGTTAGCCAGGGCTTCGCATGCCAACGCTCCTGCTCGTGCGAGCCGAGCTGCTCCTCTCCCAGACACCCTCTCCTCAGCGGGAGCCCCAGCCGCAGTGCCGGCTACCACTGCCCTTGCTCTGGCCAGTCACCCCTGCGTCAGTCAGCAGGTGGCTCTGGGCCTGCTGGCTGTGAGGACCAGAGGGTGGCTGCCAGTCAGCGGGCCGGGCCGGGCCGGGCCCGACTTACCTTTCCCTCGGGATGAGGAAGAGGACACACATGCCCGGCAGAGGACAGCCCGGGCTCCGCCCCCGCAGGCCCTGGCCTGCTCTGCGCCTGCATGGGGCAGTCATGGCCGGCACGGCCCCCGGGAGGCCCGGGCGGGTGTGTGGGCTGGCTTTCTCCAGCAAGTCTCGCACACATCTGAGGTGACACTGGGAAGGACCCTGGAATCTACCGCCTTCCTGAACAGAGTCCTCACAGCAGCGAATGGACACTTACCACCTACTGCTGATACTTTCTTGAGGTCTGCAGTGAGATGAAGTGCCTCTGGAATCCGATGGGCTTACCGCCTCCAAATGGGACAGAGAGGAATGAGATGGGGAGAATTTTTTGTGAGGGGAAGATGGGGTTCGGGCTGAGGATCCCTGCACGCCATGGGCACCGGAGTCAGAGAGCGAGTGGCCGCCGCCCTGCCCGGCGCCTGCAGACTTGCTTCTGCTTTGGGCAGAGTCGCCGCCCCCACCAGCAGAGTTCTCCTTGGCCTCCTGTTTCCGTTTCCGGTACTCCAGCAGGGACACCTGTCGGGGGGAAGCAAGAAATAGTTCTCTGCAAGCAGACCTGTGGGGTCCCTCACTGCGAGGATCGAAGGGGGCCAGGGCCCGCTGCGTGCTGACTGGCCACGCACAGCGCACTGCAGGGAGGGGAGCTGCGCCTCGGAAGGGCACTCACAGTGGCCCACACCCGCCCTCCTGCCCTCAGAGAAGGCGGGTGCTGGGTGCGGTGGCCCACGGAGCTGCCTCAGCGGCAGGGCAGCCCGGTGAGGCTGCAGCTTCAAGAGCCTGCCAGGTGGCTGACGGTGTTCCCGCGGCCAGGGGACCCCCAGTTATTTGCTGAGAGAGAGAAAACCTAAAGGCAGGGCTGGGGCTGTAGGGCTCACTCTGGGGCATCTTCCACCGGCAGCCGGGGCTCCGTCTGTCTCGGCCCCCTCCACTTGGGAAGCGGTGTGAGAGGAACCCGAACAGTGACCCGCTCAGTCACACTCTAAATCCAGCACCCACTGTTCACCCACCGGCCCTCGCACTTCGCTTCTGGGCTTTCTTGACCCAGTGGCCGGATATGCGGGGCCACAGCAGCTGCTCCCCCCCTGCTCCCCCGACTAGACAAGAGTTCTGTCGGGGCAGAGGGAAAGTTGCTGTGGCCACAGCGGTCCCCTATAGTACCATGAAGTAACAAGTCAGGTCTGCCATCTCTCCGCACACAGCACACACGACGCCCAGGCAATCCAGGGTGGCTCCCTGCTGAGCAGCGGGAGCCAGAGGCGCCTGGCGCTGCGCAGTCTCCTGGCAGGTCACTGCCAGGGTCACCGTCCTGCCCTTCCACCTTCCAGTAAGCGGGGCCCTCGCTTGTGTGCCAACATGCAATCCGTAACAAAAACACTCAAGGTGAGACGCTGGTGCGTGTCTTTCCGAGAAGGAGCCTTCGAAGGAGTCAGCAGCCACACACGCCTCTGGAGCCTTTTCGTCAGGCAAACCTGGATGCGAGCGGCCCGGCTACGGGCGCGGGGCCCAGCCAGACACGGACGGCTGCCTGCGCTCGGCCAAAAACCACCGACTCGAAGCAGCACAGTTTTGGCTCTGAAAGCTTCAGTACAAGCAATACTCACAAGGGGACGCCCAGTCTGTACCCAGCTCTCGGGCCTGGCCCTGCCCAGCACATCACGGGGCACTCACTGTACCCGCTTGCACCCTGCCACCCACCCAGGGGAGGGCCACGTCGTGACCAGCTCCACTCTCTCCCGTCCTCACCCTCTGCTGCTGACTGCTCACCGGGAGAGCTCGGCCGCTGACCTGCCGCCTCTCAAACCGTCTCAGAGCGCCCTGTGTGCTCTCTACCCCCCACCAGGCCCCTGCGCAGGTTTCCCTGTCTGGCTGCGCTCACCACACCCAAACAGTTGCCTGGAGCACCAGCACCGCCACTGCTGTGCTCAGTCTCACAGCATGGAGCGGCCTGCTAAGCGGGGTCTCCCGTGCTGCAGGGCAGACGGAGGCCGATACGGCCATCGTGCCAGGGCTACCGGGTGACGTGTATCGACTCGCCGAGGTTTCCTCCACTGCAGAACGGGGAAGGACCCGTTGTACACACTGCGTTATGTGCCGGCTTCTCCACACAGGCAGAGCTTAGCAGTGCCGAGGATGAGGGAAGTGCTAACCAGCATTGCCCGGGCCACTGCCCTGCCCTGTGAACTGGCGGGCCACGGCGTGGGGCATGCGCGGCGGGCACCGAAACGTACTGGACACGGACAACACCCTCACGCTGTATGCTCAGAGTCGGTCTCTCGCTGGGCGCGACGCAGACCTGTCTCACCGTCTGTTTGCCACCTAGCGAGAAAACCCTGTAATCATTTGTCAGACTGTTCGCTTAATATTCTCCAGAGGGCCTGTGATGCGAAAGGCTTACCTTTTTCCTCTGTGGGGGGTTCTGGGGGGCAGATGGGACTCCTTCACAAGCCCTTTCGCCGCCAGGTGACATGGATCCACGAGCAAGGTCTTTCATGAAACCGTGTTCATATCTGCTGGGAAACCCTTCTGCGGGGGAGCAGTAGCCCCCATCCAGATGCAAAGGCTTCCTGTCGCCCCCGAGAGGAGAACCCCTGTACAGCCCGTCCGCGCGAGGCATGGCGTTCAGCGGCGAGTAGGCGTACATCAAGTGGAACTCTGTCCGAAAGGCCTGGTCCGAGCTTCTCACAAGGCTCTGATGTCCGTCTCCACTCCTGCCTGGAAAGCCAGTCTCAGAGGTGGGCACCGCGCAGGCGTGAGGAGCCAGGTCAGAAGAGCCCGAGCCAATCAGGGAAGGCCGGTCAGCACAGCTGTTAGTGTTGGCGTCAAGGTAGCCGGCTTTCGCCAAGTCCAGATCCTTCCGATGACAAAGCTGAAAGAATAGAAATCAACGGAGACATGGGGTAGGGGAGACAGAGAAGTCCAAGGGGGCGGGGGAGGGAGGGAGAGGGGCACAGTGAACAAGGAAAGAGAAAAGGGGCAGAAGCAGAAGAGAGAACACATCGACCCCGACAGCCCCACCCGCAACGGCTAGGCAGGCCGTGACCACAGTGCTGCGGCCGCTCCGGGTGAGAGGAACTGGGAAAGCAGAGTCAGGTATCAGCCAAGCGGGACGGCTCTGCCTGCTTCGCGGCTCATCAGGACTCCGAGTCGCCGCGCACGCATCCCGGACTGGCCTAACGAGGGGTTTACCTGAGCCCGAGGCGGCTCCAGAGGTGAGACTGATGTCTTACGATAATCAGTTTATGGTGCTAATTAAGAAATTAACTCTGATGGGGTAGGGTGGGAGGAGGGTAAGCGGCGAAAGAAACAAACTGGGGGAAAGCCAGGACTCAAGGGCTGGTTCAGTGAAGGAGAAAGGCAGTAACGACACCAACCAATCCGTCTTCACGCACCTTCATGACCAGGGAGGTGCATTTGTCAGACAACGGCTCGCTACTCAGTTCTCTCCCTCACGTATGTCCACACACCACAAAGACCACAAGTGCCCCTGCTGCAGACCACAGACCCTCAGAAGTGTGTCAGAAACAACCCCACCTGTCACGTGGCCGTCATTCTACCGACACCAAGATCTGCTGCCACCAGGCCCAACACAGCAACTCTAAGAGCAGTGGGGCCAGACGCCCCTTCGCCTCCAGACGCTGCCTGAGAAGCCGAGGGGGAACACCGGAGGGCCCCACATATGGCCTCCAGCAGGTCCACACTTCTCCGTCTGCAAAACCCGACTGAGTGAGCATGTGGTCAGCTGTCAAGAGTTCAGCACTGGTTGTTTACTGACGCAGGGGTATGGGGCGAACAGTTCAGATGATTATAAAAGGCTCAAACTCTTTTTCTCAAGAGGGAAAAGGCTTCATTAGAGAGTCCTAGAGTTGACATTAGCACATTTGTCTAAATACTGTAATAGTCAAGAAACTCCAGCATTAAGTTGAATTTAACATTCCATGGCTTTAGGGTTTCGGCGTCAACGGCTCAAGGACCCCGGGGCGCAGCAGCCCTCCCACCGCACGGCCCAGGGCTGGGTGCGGCCCCCTGCTCGCCAGGGGGGCTACCGGCGGAGCGCAGTTAGCTGGGCTGGATCTCTCCTGAGAGACGCTGCTCAAATCAACCAAATTCATTCAGTTAAAAAGTTGTCTGATTAACCCGGGAGCAAGGCGCAAACCACGGCCCAACTCCTCCCCTGGAGGCTGACCTTTAACACAAGAAATTAAGCATCAAAAGTCAGTTCCTATCCATTTTACTCCACATCAGACAGGCCTGCACTGGAAGACTTTCTTTAGCGAGGCATCTACCATACCTCTGGCCACTTTAAACTTGACTTCTATCCTTTAAGAGAAGGCCTCCGCCACCCCCCCCAAAGCCATCATAGCAACCCCCCCCAGCGACTCCATTTTCCTCCATCTAGGCTGAGCGCTCCGAGTCACTGCAGTCACACGGGGGAAGATCCACTCAGCGCACTGCCACCAGTGGGCCACCCTCCAGCCCTCACCCACTCACTCGGCCCCCAGCCCTCCCCACACACTCGGGAGCGTTCTCATGCACACTCACTCTCAGCTTCCAAGTGTGATTGAGATGGTGTGATAACTACCTCGGGTGACAGGGACTCGGGCCTATTCGCAGGGGAACTCTCAGGGGAGGATATGTTCTAGAGGAGGGAAAAGCATCTTGTTATTCATCTACTCCAAGTCAAGAAGCAAAACAAAACAAACAAAAAATAAAGTAAAAGCAAGCATAGATGGTTAGCCACAACTTTTGGGTGGGGGGGGGGCGGCGCAAGGGAAGGGTAGGGATGCACAGGGGAAATGTTTTAATTGCAGAATTCATCTCAAGGGACAGACTGACTTGTTAAAATGCTTCCCGGTGTCTTTGACAGCATTTAAGGGAAACTGGCTATAATGTCTCATGCTCTCCAAGTAACACTTTTTAAGCAGGTATGGCAAAGGTTAGTGAGACCTGACACAACCTACAGTGTGGACTCTCTTGCCTTGGCTCCACACCTATGCCCAAGCCCGCCTCCACCACCCAGGGAAAACTGCTCGTCACTGGGGTGCTGCTGCGGCTGGTGATGCCCAGCTCCTCTGAAGCAGTCAAGAGGCTGGGTCTGAGGGGCTCTGGCTCGTCAGCGAGGTGGTTCTGGGCATCATCTGACTGGCACTAGACCAGCCCCACCTCCACAGTTCTCTCATGTCAAAACCCACTGGACTTTGGGGGCCAGGACACGCTTAGAGACCGCTGTCCAGACAGGGCTGCCCTCAGGCTCCACCGGCAGCGGCACTGCCTGTGGACAAATGGTGCTGAGTGAGAAGAAACGAAGGGTAAAAGGGCAGAGGACGACGGTGGCGGCCGGACAAAGGCTCGGGGTGCAGGGGTAAGGCAAGCACAGTCCTGAGGAGACGCTGACCGCTGGTTCCGGGGCGCAGGCAGGGCTGCGTGGAGAGGGGCTCAGCGGGCCTGTCCTCCCGCGCCGCCCGTCTCACGGTGCTGCTCGTCCCCTCAGTGTCTCCCTGCTGCACCGGAGAGCGCGCTCACGCCTAGCCTGGGAGGGTTTTCATTTTTCCTTTTCAAAATCTTCCTAATGAAGTCGACCTTCATTCATGACACCTTTTGCTGTCTGTGTCAGTCTTGGGTGCAGAAAGGCTCCTTGTCCCTAACCTGAGACCAGGGCACAGTGTGGCTGGCAGGTGGTGAGCGCCGTCACCAGCGCAGGGCTCCACAGCCTTAGTTAAGTCGTGAGCGTCAAACAGTCGAGACGTGACTGGACGTTCTGACGGGCGTGGCTGCGCCGGGCAGTCTTTCCTCCCTCTCCTGGTCTTCTAACCTAGACTATTCGTCACTAACAGTGTGTCTGACTTAAAAAAAAAAAAGACACTCCCCTGCATTGTGCAGGATGTTTCATAGGTATCAGAAGTGCTGCAAGGAACAGGAAACGCACTGAGAGCTGAACTGAACTCAGTGCTCTGGAAGGTTATTTACCTTCCAATCCCCACAACTTCGTGTTTACTTATAAAGATTTTACCCTCAAACTGCAGCTGTTAATTGAAAGCCAACTGCAATTCGACCAAGTAAAATTAGTAAGGCCCAACGCAGCTGGTGGACCGTCTGGCCTAGAGAGAACACCTGTCCTGTGGTGACCAGCACTCCCTGCCCTGAACTCAGTTACTACGGTCTAGGGCCTGGACAGACCCTCGCTGCCTTGTTCGAGTCCAGGTACTTGCAACCCCCCACGCTCTCACAGAAGCTGCACAGGCAGGCGGTGCTGGCTCGGTCGCCCCTCAATCAAGGACACGCCTGGAGAAGGGCAAGCGTGGTGTGTGCTTAATGGCCAGAAAACAGTTTTCCTTAAAGGAGGAGAAGATGGTGTTTAATTACCAACCAAGCAACATGCAACAGATGAGTCTTTAATTCAATATAATAATAGACCCTACTGTCACCCAGACTTGAGTGCTAATAGGAATTAGAATTACTTTTTGAAATGGCTGAGATAAACACGTCTAACTTATTCCAGAGAGTAAATGTCATTAAACTGGTTCTCATAAATGCAGTTTGCTAGCCTCATTCCACAATGTAACAGAAGGGGAAATAACTGGAGCAGTTTTAAAAACCACCCTCATTTGCCCCAGGAACTACACTCCAATGCTTTCTAAATTCCCAGTCAGAGGACACAACAAGAATACAAAAAACAACAGGGGCCGAGACACAGAGACACAACCGATCAGGATGCACGAACACTCAGGTCGGGCTGCCAACTTTTCAACCACAGTGCACAGTACAGGTGAAGATAGGAGACCTAGCACCCTCGCTGCCTGCGGTCAGGCGTCTGCGGCCTGCGGGCACAGGCAAAGGCGTGTCGTCCGGGCATGCTGGCCCTGCTGGGTGCTTGGGAAGGACGGGGCCAGCCACCATGAGAAGCTACCAGGTCCTACAAGGTCACATGGCTCGTAAGGTCCCCATTCTCTGGCTGAGACGGAGGCACCACAGTAAACACACATTTGGAACGTTACTGTATTTGAAACAAGGAGGTGAAAACAATGCTCTCATCTCCAGCACTCCCCAAAACCAAGCCCAAATCACCTCAAACTGCAGAGGAGTATTGCAGCGACTAGCAGTAGTAAGCGACGTGACTGGGGAGAACATGAGGCTGTATCCATTCCGACACTCCTCTTCTCCTGGGTGAGACGGGCCGGGTGTGAGCAGCTGGGGGCTCTTGGCGTCTGGATTTGGAGGGGGTGGTGTGACCGGAGAAAGAGGCCGCAGTAGCTTGGTGACATTCTGCTCCATCAGGTAGCGAGACTTCCATTTCTTTAATGGGCTCAGCAAGTCTGAAACACAAAGCCTGGGTGAGCGGCTGAAAGTACAGCGTGGAGGGAGGCGCTGCATAAATTCACTAGCCGTGGGCCCTCCCTGGGGGCGCAGCGGGTTAAGGCACTGCACTGAGCCGCTAAAGCCACTTCCGCATCAGTTCGATCCCCGCCTGCCCCGGAGGTGACCCCAGGGCGCGGCAGACCTCTCCTGGCCCGCCCGCTGCTCCCCTCAGCAGTGTACTTCGTCCATCTGCCTGCTCCACTCCCCACTCTGTCTCTGGGGAAGCCTCTCGCCGCCCCTGAGCCTCTGGCCTGTACTCCTGTTCTGTATGCACAAATAAACAAATCTTAAAAAAAAAAAAAAAAAAAAATTCACTAGTCTCCAGCCCGCAGAGGCTTCTGACCTCTTCGCCTCAGCCCATCATCACCGCCTGAGTCAAACCAGAAGCCCGAGACGCTCCGCTGCCACACTTACGACGGCCCCGCGATGCCCCCAAAGGACCATCACAGCCCATTTCTTCAGTGGCCAAATACACTTTTTCTACACTGTGTTTCTTTCTGAAAACCTCAAATCTGTGTCACTCTGTCAAAGCCACCCGCGTGAAACGACTGGCGGCCTTCCAGAGGCCGACACGGCGCCTCCTTTTCTCATGCGGCTCGGCGGCTGGCTCCACAGGCCCCGCGGCAGCCGGCAGGAGCGGCCTGAGCACGGGCTCTGGTGGTTTGTTCTCCAGTGCCGGACTGTGGCATGAGGTCAGCAAAAACGACCCAGCACCATTTAAAGAACCAAGCTGGGCCTCTTCACCTCACTGGAGCAATTCTGATTTCCACGCTTCTTAGGTTCATCTAACGAGCAGTTTGTACTCTATATTAGTGGCCACTCAGAGCAAAGGGGACTTCCAGCCAAGACACTACCTGCGTACGGAAAACCACCACATTAAGTGTGAGGGGAGAAATCTCACCTCACAGTCTACCTTAGGGGGCTTACAGTAAACCTGATAAAAAGAAGGCAAAAAACATTTAACCCAGGTCTAAGAACGTCAGCAGAGATGGTCACACGGCCATGGTTAGTGAAACAAGGCCACTTTTCTGGCACCTCTGGACCGGTGACTGTGGCACCCTCTTCGTGCGAGTCACCAGAGTTCATTCAAACAACTCTACCAATCCAGCTCTAGTGTTGTGTTTTATCATCCCCATTTTAAAGATGAGGACTTTAGGCAGAGATAAAGACCAGGTAATCTACACTCTCAACCACAGGTTAAATTATATCTCCTCCCGTGCTGAGCAGAGTGACCTTTACCCCAGGTCCCGGAAGAAGCGTTTAATGGACAGTAACTGAAAACGAAGCTGGCACTGTCTAAGACGAGTTTGGACACAGGGAAATACTTAAAGCTAAGGGAGTTGCTCATATAAAGGGTAGTGAGGAGGCCATACAAGGATGGTAGATATTGAAATGGAAAGGGAAGATAAATACAAAAAATACTGGAGATGCTTATTTTGCTTTCTGATAAACTGAACTATAAAAATTTCCCAGATTGGAAGCACAACTGCATTTCTCTGTGTTCCAGATAGTAAATTTTCTTATTTTTCTGTTCTCCTTTGAACAGTGCCTCGGTAGAAAAGGTGAAGACGTCATCTGTGGCTTGTACTCAGAGAACTCATAGACTCACGGGCTCTGAGCAGCGAATCCTAAGAGCAGCGAGCGGCGGGCAGCCAGGCAGCGGTCTCCGCTGGGGCCCAGTCAGGGAGGAGCTGCATCTCTGCTGCCTCGGAACAGGCCATTCATTTAAGATGAGACTGACTGAGTCCACAGGACCTCGCTTTCAACAAAACAGACCTGAAGGGTAATTCGAGTTTCATCTTGCTTCCTCCTTTTAGACATGCAAAGCTTTCAAACTGCATGCGGTCAAATCTAACCATTTTTAAGATTACTATTTTTAGCCTTTACTCAAACAGTTCCCAGGATTCTATAAACCAATGCCCACGCACCTAACTAAACACACTGAGCTCAAAGACCCGAGTTTGCCCACACCTGCCAAGATGGCCTAAGCCGCTCGTCTACGCCACTCTGCACCACGACCTCCTACTTTCATTCCGAAACACACAGGAGCGGCCTCTCCATACCATGGACAGAGCGTGAACACGCATGTGACAGCGTATAGATTCGCAACCTCCAAATGCAACCACTAAACATTTCCAGTTTTTTGGGGAATGTGTCTGCGACCAATCATCTTGCGTGTCACATTTCTGCACTGGGGCGAATGCTGGGCCTGTGATTAACCGGAAGGCTCTTTTCACGGGCTCACTAGCTCCTACCTTGTTTTTCCTGTGTACTGTCAGTAAAAATGTTGACTATGTCAAAGTGTTACAATTCTGTTTTCCTAGTTTGTCATCTGACTTAGATCTAATTTGAAGACTTTCAGAACATTCTGGTTGTACAATGTTCTATATTTTAGTCAAACGTACCCATCATTTCCTTCATTTTGTTTTTCTGACCTCATGAATGTTTATGCCATCCCAAGACTGTAAGAATAGCCCATTTTCCATATTTAATTTTTTAATTGACATTTTAACAACTACAAACGATCCTTTTCCTATGCCAAACAACTAGCACCCTCTTCCAAAGTCTTTAGTAATTACAGAATTATAATTCCTCTGCGATGTGCAATGAAGCTTGTGTCTCTAGACTCCAGCTCACGCTGCGCTGGGAACATGTGTCCAACCGAGAGCTGGACGACCCGCGCTGAGCGAAGCCGCGGGCAGCTCTGGCTAGTCCACTCCCGCCCAGAGCACCAGCGCTGTGGAGAGCGTGGGGACATGACCATGCTGGCACCAACAGCACTCTGCACCTTTACAGGGTCGTGCTGCATTCTAAGTGGCGTGGGGAGCGGCAGAGCACGCCACCTGCGTGCGCTTCCACCTGGAACCAGCTCTCGCCACACGCCGCTCCTTTCCGATCAGAGTCTTTGGTCACTACTGTAAACAAACGTAGGCCTTCACGTGGCCACGGTGTCCCGTAAGGCAATACCGCCTGGTGTTTTTCAGCTCTCTGCCCTGCTACCTCCATGACCTTTTCAAAGACTTCTCTTGGCCTTTCTAGGTAGGTAAGTTACCTGTATACAATGACACAGCCCGTCTCACTAGAAACACTTTCATCTCAAACATTTTCTTTCTGTGTTCACTTTGGTTAACAATCATAAACTTTTAACAACGGTACCAGAATAGTCTAATAACCAACGGTAAGGTTTCATCTAGCCAATTTCCACCAGGAAGCGTAACTCTCAACTGTCAGGCAGCGAGGGCAGCCCCTGTGCTGTCACTCCCAGTCTCTGCACAGCACGTGCAGGGCAGCAGCAGCGTGGGCCACCCCCACTCCTGTGCCCGCCAGTCCCAACTACTGAGCGACCGTACATATCCAGGAGGTATTTTCTTTGGTCACAATATACTATTCTTTCAATATTCTTGTAGAATCAAGATTCAAGCTGTTGATATCTAACTCAAAAGCTGTACTATGTGTGTTATTTACAGAGAGGGGTTCAAGGTCATTTGATTAAATGGAGAAAAAAATTTTTAGTGATACTATATAATATTTCACCAAGAATATGTGTACATAGCAGATAAACTACAAATTCTACCATTCCTTATTGGTTTAAAATTGAGTGTTAATTTAATCTTGTATATTCTATGAATACTGTTAACAACTCTATGAATAATACTTTGAATATTTAAATTTTGGCCCACACTTTCTGTATGAGGAAGAACAATTCACAAGTTAAGAAATATGAGTATTAAAAAAAAAAAAGATTTATTTAATTTGTGCATACAGAACTGGGGTACAGGCTGGAGGTGCAGGGGATGAGAGGATTCACCAGAGACAGAGCGGGGAGCAGAAGAGGCCGACTGATGAAGCACACTGCTGAGGGGAGCAGCGGGCAGGTCAGGAGAGGTCTGCTGCACCCTGGGGGTCACCTCCGGGCTGGGGTTCGAACTCGTGCTTAAGTGGTTTTAGCTTCTTAGTGCTGTGCTTTATTTAACCCGCTGCGCCCCCAGGGAGGGCCCAGAAATAGGAGCATTTTTAATCCAGATGATAAGCAACACTAGACCACCAGCGGGCACTGCAGTCATTTCCACTGGTGACCTTTCTCCTAGTGTCTCTGCTACCTCGGAGACATCAGACACAGAAACACCGTTAGGTTAAAAAAATGTCTTTTTGAATGTGCCAAGAGAATTTGCTTTTTTGAGAACCTAAGTATTTTCAATCTCCCAACTAAGTGAAAATTCCATGCCAGTTCATGGCATCTTTCATTTATATTGGGCACGTAGCTTGGAAATTGTTCTGGACAGTCACCGATGTGCCCACTCCCACCAGCACTGCATGATTCAAGCGTGTGCTTCCAGCTTCTTAGTAAGAGCTAGTTTTATACCTCTGGGGAAAGTACATCTTTACCTTTTGAACTCTTGTAAATCATTCTTTTAGGAATTTAATCAAATTCCTAAAACATACTGGTTTGGTGGGAACTCTGGGACAAGGAGCGAGGGGAGAGAGAGGTTCTATTTATTCATTCCGTTCAACACAGTATTCTGTCCTCACATCCTCAAGACTAACACTCTGAGTAGGGGCTTGCTGCACTGAGGCTATTCCTAAGCAGTCTCTTAGCGTAAGTTTAAGAATGAAAATTTTCTTCCCTTATTTTTCACTATGTAAATGATACTAATTTTTACTTATGCACCTTCTATCCAGGTTTTTTAGTTAATTGTTACCGCCTCTGGAGATATAATCATATTACATGATTTGACAACACTCCCCTACCAGAACAGTAATGCATTCCTACAGAACTTCAGTTTTAGAAACTTGGAATCTTTAATGTATCCTCGTATTTAATTTCTACAACTATTCCATAAGTGGTCTATAAAAAAGCATTCAGTGCAGAAGAATGGCATTAATAACTGCTATCAGAGGCCTGACAATCTGGGCAGGCCCCACGTACTTTATACACGTAATTTAATCTACACAAGCAATACATAGCAGCTGAGGCTCTTCTCATTTTACAGTGAAGGCTCAGAGGTGGTTCAGAAACCTGCCCAGCATCACAGACTCGGTGAAGTTAGGACACCACACAGCTGTCTCTTGTATCCTGTCATGCTGCTCCTCCTTTACAAGACAATTCATCGAAGGGCTCTCCCTGGTGGCACAAGGGGGTTAAGGAGGTGGACTATGAAGCCCCTGCAGCACAAACTTGATCCTTGGCCAGGGAGTGACCCACAGGGCGCAGCAGCTTCTCCTGACCCACCTGCTGTTCCCCTCAGCAGTGGACTTCAGTCCCTCCACCTGTTCTGCTCCCTCCTCTATCTCTGGTGAATCCTCTCACCCTTTCCTCCCCACCCCCGACCCCTGGCCTGCACCCCAGCTTCTGTATGCATAAATAATAAATCTTTAAAAACAAAATAATCCATCAGGATTTACACTAACTTGTAGCAACAAACCAAGCCACTTATGCAACTGCTGCCAGGTTTCTTCCTGTTCCAGCTGCTCCTTAAGGGCAAGGTGTGGACTCTGAAGGCTTCGCACTGCTGGAGAGAGCAGCGGTGGCCGCAGCAGAGGAGAGCGGAGGCTCCCCAAATGGGTGGTGACTACCAGCCCTAATTCCACCCCAACTGGGGCACGTCGTAACAAAGGCACTTTTCCAGCGCCTCGCAGGTCAGGACACGAACTGCCGAACCACCTTCCTTTCTTGCTTTCAAATATACACCCGTAACACACAAGCATAAGCGCACACATGTGTGACTGTGTGACAGAAGGTCCCAGTTAGGCCACGCTCTCAGGTGATGACCCATCCACTGGAAATTTGGTGTCAGATTTCTTTGTATTAAATTGGCTTGAGTAATCTCCCTCATCAAGCACATGGACCAGTTTATCTGCCAGATGTTCTACACTGCGATTTTCTTATCTTGGGGTTACACATGGGAATCTTGTCTAAGAGTTCAAATCAGGTAGGAATAAATGGAGCCAGTAACTTGAAAGAAAAGATTTTTAGTAGCCTCTTCCCTAATACATTGTTACACAGAATCGTGAGCAGATATTACTAATCTAAATCTATCTTATTCAAGTTCACCTTTCACTCAGCAAGTGAAAGAACAGACAAGTGAAGTGGTTTTTACGAAAACCTGATTATTGCCATATCCGCTGTAACCTCCAAGTCTTTCAGCATGTGATTTCTGTTGGTATTTTGTTTTGATTGCATAAGATTTTGGGTTTATGGAAAACAGGACTTTTACAAGTAAGCTGATAATGGTAGGAGAAACTTGGGGAAAGAGACTGTCCCCACAACAAATTAAGCTGGTGCCACAATCCAAGCACCACTGTTTTCCACTGCAATTCAGTTAATATCCTCACGAAAGTCACTGTGAAAACCAATGTTCTACACGATGTTTTTGAACCTCCAGTTTAAAATTCCTCAGGACTTTAGACTGGAGTCAAAGTCCTGTCTCGTAAAATGTCTACATGAATGTGCAAGCTAGTCCTCCTGAAAACAACCAATTCATAATGATTTCTGTTTTACACCAGCATCCCAGCCCCCCATCCACCAAGCCCGCCCAAGCCAAGCACTGTAATCTGATTCCTTCCTGAACACTCCCAGCCCAAGTCTTCCTTATTTTCCTCATACACACATGAATACAGAGTTCCTAAACTTACTGCTTAAAATGTATCTAACCTTTTCATAACCATTTCTGCTGTTATCTGTACACTGTCTAGTTCGTTCTTTGTCGTCCTTGGAAAACTGATCCCTGACTTGAGAGCTCTCTCTTCCTCTGTAAAGACAGATGTAAAGTAACTATTTAGAGAACAAAGCTATTTCGTTTTGTATCAGACTTTTAAAGTACTTATACTGAAATTCTGTACGTGGACCTGGAATAATCATCGCTCACATGTTCAGGAGGTGTGTGATACATACCTGCATTGTCTTTGCAGATACTAGAAGAGCTACTATTCTCGTTACTTTGGTATAGTTGCTGAGTTCTAGTCTCTTGGGGTACAGAAGATGTTTGAGTCATACCTTCTTCCAAGGCTTGCTTTATCCAGCGCTATAATGTGAAAAGAACCAGGGAATTAGCAAGCATCATTCAAAACTACTTAGTACACTCTTTCAAACGCTATCAGTCTGGTCCTGACACACCAACTGGCGAGAGACGCAGTCCAACACGCTCATTCAGTCCCACAGACAGGCAACTTTTCTCTTGCGCTTCAGCATATTAGATGAGCGAGGCCATCAATTCCTTCTACTGAGCGAAACTGTGACAGTCAGCATCACAGACAATGGGATCCCATCAAAACACCTAAATCAACAAGTACCAATAACTCCTTCCGTCACATACTGCTCAGATGAGGTAGACGAGTAGAAGGAAGACATCTCAGTATTCGAAAGACTAGTCACACAGGACAGGACAACTGCGTGAAACAAGGCATGGCTGGAAGATAAAGGACGACTGCTTAAGGGCTGTCTGCCCTGCGCTGGCGGCATTTGGAGAGGCAATAGAAAAGACTGGCAGGCCGACGACAGAGACTCCTCATGTGTCACCACAGGCACCCAAGCCCTCCTACAGTTCATGTGCAGGGCTGACCTGTGCACTCTCTCCTCCGATCACATGGTGTTGCCACAGCACGAGGGGGAGCACGAGCCCCGAGAAAGCATGAGCCCCGAGAATGACTGACCTTCCCTAGAACTCAGAGAGCGCTTCAGTCAGTCACACTTTACTTTTTCCCACAGGAAATACAGGAAGTTAAAATGGTGAGAAATACAGTCAGAAGTAGATCCTACAGACTAGGTAGGATAACAGTAAGATTTTGCATTCAGTGGAAAACAGAACACTTCTCACCTACTAGGGAGTTCTCTCAAGGGAAACTGCTGTAGGTTGCTCACTACGCTGTGACTCCTGCCTTAAGGTAACACAGATCAAATTTTAACTTTGAACTCAAAACATCAATTTGAGTTAGACCCTCCCCCAAATAGGATGAGCAGAGGTGATTATAAGTCCCCAGCTTTAGAGAGCAAGTATTCTAGGTAAATATTTTCTTCTCTGAAGAGAGCAATTCTAATAGGTTTACCCTCTTAGAATACCTGAAACCATTTTGTTGGGAAGACCTATTTCTTGGGAAGGAAGATTTCACCAAAAAAATCATGGTGTGACAATGGTCACTCTGAGTCACACCAACATTTGGGTTATGACCAGGTCTCTCTCTCAGAGGACTGATGTAAAGATGTCTGTCAGCACCAGACTCCTGATGACTTAAAAGAAAGCTTGGAGGTCAGGTCACCTTGTCCAAAGAGGACAAAATGAGTGAGAAATCCTTCCTCATGGACACCTGTAAGGTAAGATTTCTCTTCAGATGTGTTGACAGGATTCACTGGGGGGTGGGGGTGGGGTGGGGTGTCATCACTTCTTCCCTTCACGAGAAGTTAATTTCTTATATTCCCAGTGCCAAGTAGGTGCACCCACAAAATAATTTATATTCTGGATGTGATGATTACAGAAAAAGGGGAAAAAAAAAACCAAAAAACTAGGGCACGGACATCCTAAGGACTCAGGTTAGCTATAAGGTGATGTGCAGCACACACGACCTAACCAGCCTTCCTGGGGGCACTGGGATGTTGCCACAGTGCTTCAGGGCTCATGGAAAGGGAACATGAGCATCTGTTTGTATCTAACAAGTTCCAATCATCCTCTGGGATAATGACTTTTCGATTCCACCCTTCTCCCTGCCTCCCAGTTCTATCTACAGAAGAACTAACACAAGTCTACATTCTATCAAGGATCTCTCTCCCATTTGGGATACTATATTAAAAACATTTTTAAGCAAAATCTGAGAAAGGAAAGAGAAGTTTTGCAAAGTGTCCTCTTTTTACTACCCAGAAACAGCAAGAAGTAACTGAGTTTTGGAGTCCAGAGACTCCATGCCGGTAGGGCCGGCTACACCCACCGCAGGGGGCTCTCAAGAAGGCCAGGCGAGATACTGTGTTAGGAAGGCCGGGGACACAGTGGTAGGAGAAAGTGTTTACTGAGAACTTGTTCAAATGAGGTGCAGTGCTGTGCGTAGGACACAGGTGGACAGCCACCAGTGCGCACAGGGGCACAGCAGTGCAAAGCAGCGTTTCCTTTCCAGCCAGAATGGTTTCCTCCCAAGAAACGTGGGCGACTCCCTCCTTCCAAAAAAATAATTTCTACTCTTGGGCCCTCCCTGGTGGCGCAGCGGGTTAAAGCACAGCATTGAGAATCTAAAGCTGCTTCCGCATGAGTTCGATTCCCGCCTGCCCCGGAGGTGACCACATGGCGTGGCAGACCTCTCCTGACCCGCAAGCTGCTCCCCTCAGCAGTGGACTTCGTTGATCTGCCTGTTCTGCTCCCCACTCTGTCTCTGGTGAAGCCTCTCGCCGCCCCTGAGCCTCTGGCCTGTACCTCAGTTCTGTATGCACAAATAAATAAATCTTTAAAAAAAAAAAAATTTCTACTCTTGGGAGAAGGAAAAGCTGTTAAGTCTGGTGGTGCCAGGGGTTCAAGAGCAGCACTATGAAGCTGTCCACAGCAGCCCCTCAGCAGTGTGTTTCAGCGGATCCGTCTGTTCTGCTCCCTACTCTGTCTCTGGGGAACCTTCTCACCACCCACACCTCTGTATGTTTGGCAGTGCCAGGGAAGACCTGCCTAGGTAGATGAAGACCTAGTGGTAGATGAAGACTTCATCACATCAGGTCATCTCCATGCAGCGCCTTGCCAGAGCAGTCAGAAGAGAGACCTCCAGCTGCTTCCAGTCTAAGATTTGAAGTGAGTAAAATCCAACAGAAGCTATGAAACATCTTAAAAAAAAAAAAAAAAAAAAAGAACCCTCCGCATCTCTGGCCTGTACCCTAGAGTTCTGTATGAATAAATAAATAAATCTTTAAAAAAAAAAAAAGATTTATCGATGCATACATCATTATTTATGAATCTATTTGCAGGGGAAGGGGGTGAGAGGATTCACCAGAGACAGAGTGGGGAGCAGAACAGGCGGGTCAGGAGGTCTGCCACGGCATGGGCGTCACTTCCCTGCCCGGGGATCCATCTTGTACCGAGGGGCTGTGGCCAGCTTCACAGCGCCGTGCTTTAACTTGTTGCGCCACCAGGCAGGGCCCGAAACATCCATTTTTAAGAACTATGATTCCATTTAATCTTCAAATTTTAATCTTCACCATTCTCAAATAGTCTTAAGAATTTGGGTGCTGGGCCCGCCCTGGTGGTGTGAGGGTTTCAAGGCGCAGCACTGCAAAGCATCAGCAGCCACTGCAGCACGAGTTTGATCCCCGGCCAGGGAGGGACCCACATGGTGCAGACCTGCCTTCCCTTGGCAGTGGGTTTCAGTGGACCCGCCTGTTCTGCTCCCCACTCCGTCTCTGGGGAGTCCTCTCACTCCCCCGCCTCTGGCCTCTACCCCAGTTACTGTTAACTTGTACCTTCCCCTGAGGGATTTTCAGAAATTTATTACAATTTTGTTTAGTCATGGTAATGTTCTCAGGGTCCTGTAGTGGACCTTTGCCATGTCTGCCTTGTAACATTGTGTCAGAAGTTTAACATAACAAACATTAACTAGCTAATACCGATTAAAACGAATATTGAATGACTTAATTAAAACAAAACAAAACAACAAGCCAGATCCAGCAATCTCAGAAGACTCCCACTAAGCAAGGGAGCTGGGCGCTGCGCACTCCGCACCCAGCTGCGCCCTTCTCCGGACAGCTGGACAGTGTTCTGAGCAGCCGGGAGACAAGGCTGAGGACGGTCTGGCGCTGTTTGCAAAATGTTAACAGGGCCCTGAGTTAAGTGAGATGCCTCTCTGGCCAGTGGACGTGAGTTGTGAATAGAAGTCCTAAAGCATGACCCGGGTAAGAGGAGCTCTAAGATCGGCTCTGCTATCAGATTTGAAGTCACTTCCGCACGTTGCTTTTGGCTTTCACAGGACACTGCTCGCTGGAAGAACAAGATGCAAACACAAAGACTGTGACCTGGCATCAAAACCGCCACGACAGTTTTCCAAAAGGACAGTCCGGGCCATGTACACTTGAGACGTCGCTCGTCGCCTGTGCTAAGTGATGGCTGGGCCTTCGTGAAGGCCCAAACGGTAGCCTCTCCTCTCTGTTCAACAGGCTGCTCAAGCCTGAGACCCTCAGAATTCTGAACTGTAGCCACCCAGGGCCACGGCAAGGGTGCCCTCCAGCTATCTATTAAGCCGTCTGCAGACATGCTCCCTCGAATCACAAACCATACTTAGCACTTTCTCCAAATGTCAGTACCATTGTGCAAGTATAATTCAGATTCTCTGCTATTTCTTTCAACCAGGCAATAGCATGGCTGAGCATAATAGGAAGGTTAGTTTCATGCGCCACACCAAGTCATCCCAACTCCCTAGTTACTCAGCAAGGTCAGTCACATGCTGATTACCTGGCAATGTCTCCCCTTTCTCAGATAATCTCCAAGGGCCAAGGTAAGTGGTCTGGTTGAAGAACGTGTCCCCAGAGACCCAAACTGCCTTTATCACTTACGCAAATTTCTCGTCTTAATTTTATTTCTGATATAAAATTGTTGCTGGATATCTGACACCTGAAAATGATTCAACTTAACCATACTACCTACAGATCCTTTTGGCAAAGACCTCAAGGCTAAATGTCCCTTCAAGAGTTCTTTTACTTGGGAATTTCATCAAAATGAACCAAGGGACTCAACACTCAGGGAACATGTGTGGCAGGAAGGTTTTGTTCTGGTGCTGCCCCCTCGCGCGGGCCTGCTGGCCGGCCCTTCCAGGCCCACACTGCTTTGCCTCCTTTTCCATAGGCCAGCCCTGCTCCCTATTTTCACTCTTGGAGCAAAGAGAGAAAAGCTTTATGTCTGGAGGAGTCAGGGAAGACCTGCCTGGAGCTGGAGACTTCATCACATCAAATAACCTACAAGGCAGCACCCTCACGTGGTAACGAGGAGGAAGGCAGCCTGGACCCAGACCAGAGGGTGTGGGAAAGGGTGCCCCAGGAGCAGACCACCTCAAAGGGATGAAAGGCTGTGTTCTAGGTCTGAGGGAAACATCTACTCCCGAGAGATACCATCGGAAAATACGCAGGGCTTCCGGGAATTCTGAGAATATCCCCCAAACAACCAACCATCAAACACTTCTGCCACCAGACCCCAAACCAGCGTTTAAGTAGAAAAAGGCAGACAGGACCAGACACAGAGAGATTTGTAGCGGGTTCTATACTCACCAGGAGAGAAACAGGTCATTTCATGAAAGAACTGGAATTCTGCCATTTGCAAAAGTACTTTTCCCTCTATTCTGATTCAAGTGATTACTACAATTGAACTAATTTGAAACACAATCTATCTTTTTTTACTTATGCCACAGTGTTCTAGAAGTACCTGGGGACTGACCTCATTATCATAATCACAAATGGTCCCGTCTGCCAGCACCACAAAAGCACACACCACACACTCCCGACTGCCAGCACACTCGCAGGACGCAAGATCTCTCAGAAAAGTCAACGCCCAACACTCACAAACCAGGCGCCCAAACTGGCCTGGCCACGCCAGCACAGCTGCAGTACGTGCCACGTCAGCACGCCACGGGCCAGAGTGGCAAGCAGACAGCGTGCTGCTCACGCCCACAGGCACCTGCAGTTCAAACAGAAAGTGGCCGCAGACTTACCTTTTTACAGGAGCTGAATGTGCCATCAGGCAGAAGGGGCCTTCGACGTCTCTCAGGGGTAAAGGGTGAACCAAAGCGGATGTAGTGTTTGGGGGTGGTACAAATTAACGGGGAATGGATAAGGCCCGGCAACATGTTCAGGGTCGTCGCCAGCACAGTTGGGTCCGTGGTGATACGTAAAGGGCACTCGACAGGGCATTCTTGCTTCTCGGCTTTGTCATTCAACCATTCTGTAACTAGATACTGAGGTAAAAAAGAGATCATTCGTTGACGCTGCAGATGTAAAAAAGTTTCAACAGCAGTGCCGCTCGAAGACAAACCTCACCCAGAAACTAGGGCAGAGGGAGCAGGCAGCTGCGGCGTAGGAACTGGGCACTCAGCGCGCGGGGCGCCTTCCTCCCCCTTCCCCCACTGACAGGAGTGATCCCTGGCCACTGGAACGTAAGCTCTGCCTCATTATTCGGGGAACACAAGAAAGGTAGTCGCTAGTCTTCTGTGTCAAGGCGTTTTATCTAGAACTTTCAATCTAATAAAACTCCGATTTGTTTTCTCTGGGAGTATAGGTCCGCTCAGTTTACTGAGGCCTGGTCCTTGCCAGCAAAGGACCAGGAGATGTATTTGTGACCTACCTTTTTGGTTTTGGGGTATTTAGATGCAGCGCGGTTGATATGAGATCCAGTAACTGAGGCGACCACTGGGTCAGACCCTGTTATTTGCCTATTTTCTCCTGAACTGTCTACACTTCCAGCATCAACAGGCGTGACCGAGCTGCTGTTTCCTCCCTCCTCTGAGGCAGCCTGTGACAACTCTGCCTGCTGTGCAGTCGCCTGCTTCTGCCGCTTGAGTCTTTGGGCTGAACTGGTCCGGTACCGGGAAATTCGACTCTTCGGTCGGGGTCTAGAAGGCTTTGTTGAAGGTGGTTTGGGGACAGGTTTTTCTGCAGTGACATCCTGGAACAACAGCAGAGGGAAATGCTTACCCAGAAATTTCTTCCCAGCAAACATTCCATGGAGTCCCCCGTTCACTTTACGTATCTGGAATGCTTACTGGTGAAACGTGGGCATTTATAAATACTCATAAGTGTTGCCCTTACAGAAACGTACATGCTGAAACCAGCCAAAGAGGTTGGAGGCAGAGATGGGTTAGTTTTTTCTTTTTCTAGTAAGGTTTAGTGAAACAGGTCAAATACCAGCTGAAAGGAGTCACCTCATTTTAGGGTTATTCAGGGAAGAGAATTTCTCTGTTTCTCTCCCCGAGCAAGTCTTATAATTCCTGGCTAAGGTGGGGAAAGGCGAGAGTGAGATTCACCCTATAAATCTTACAGCCCAGTCACAGGCGTTACACAGAAGGGTCAGAAGAGAAAACAAATGATTCTTACGATGTCACCAACAACTTATCTGGCAGTAAAAGCAGCCTCACCACAGTGTGGAAATGCCTCAGTCATTCAGGTTCTGTCTCCCTGCGCCTCACAACTCAGTCGATGATGATGGTTTTAGCAGAAATGGTCTTACTAAGTACAACAGTGGCAAAGCTGACAACTGCCTATTTTAACCATTTCAAAAGCTAAGTGACTGGCATTAGCAGAAGCGGGGCCCGGACTGTGTTCATCACCTACCCCCGCCTGGGAAGACCTCCGGGTGTTCACTCCGACGCTCTGGGGAGTGCTTGGGACGGCAATGTTTGAGACGGGGTTGCTAGCCTCGGGGTCGGGCGCTTCAGATTTTGTTTCCTCTCCCACGGGAGTCTCTGAGGTGGGCGAAGTCATCTCTGCTTCAGAACTGTTCTGTTCCAAGGGCTGATCCCGTCGCTTCTTTCTTTTCTCTAAGTTTTCAAAGGCGTGCATGATGGCTTCAACCTTCCTGTCTTCCCGAGTCTAGAAAGAGCGACCATTAGTACAGCAAGAGTGGACATCATTGCAGAAACAATATCAGTGGGACCTCACAGACATTTACTGTAAAAATAATTCATCCTGAATATTGTAAAACACGGTCAAGAAAGACATGGTCAAATCTGAGACTTTTTAATGTAAAAAAGTAAATAGTCATTAAAGCCAATTTTCTTCTACACTTTCAGAGTTCAAAAACAACTAAGTAGATTTTCTTGAAGTTAATCTCAGGGACAGAAATAAACATGACTGGTTTCACCAGAACAGCAGAGTTTCTGACTCCATATAACGGAGTTTGTTGTTTTTTAGAATCAAGGCTCACAGAAAAGTTACGCGAGAGTCCCACGTCAGAGCAAGTAGCCCTAAGAGAGCTGTTCTGTCTGGGTAGTTTTCTGAACCCAGACTGTAGGGCGGCCTTCAGGATCACCGTCGATGAAGTTAGTAGGCAACGACCCTGCATCTGAGGCATACTACTTTGTCTGTCTACTCTACAGAAAAAGCCCGATTTTTAATCTACAGGTGATGGGACAGCACCCTGTCAATACATGAAATGACACAAATCCCGAAGAGGGCTCAGATGGAGACAGAGACGGGCAGACGGAGAGGTGCCCACCCTCCTGCTCTGGGCCGGGTTCTCCTGGTCATCTGTTGCCTCTTCTTTCTCTTCTTCGGCTTTTTCCTCTGGATTGTCTATTTCCTGCAAGACAGAGGCAATACCAGCTCTACTCTGAAGCTCTAGGAAAATCAATCTGTTTTTGCTCTGACAGCTTAAACTCCAGAAGTAGGTTTTGTGCTTTAGCAGTGTTACTTGTGTGGGTGAAATGGCAAATACAGAGATCAATCCATTTCTGTGAACTCAAACACAGAAAAGTAGCTGAGGCAGTTCAGAGACTGTGGAGCAGAGGATGGATGCCTGTGCACCCACCTCGATGTGCGAGGCACCAGGTGCTAGTGTAGACCCCCTACATGAAACACGGGCCCAGGCTCCCCCATAGGCAGACCACCACCACAGCAGTGTTTTCTGACCAGGGCGATTACCTCATTGTCACTGGATACAGTTACTTTCTCAGGAACTTGTTCTGGCTGTTGGCTGTTATCCTCTTCTGGAGCCTCACTCTGCTGTTCCATCTCCAACTCTTTCCGCCGTGCTTTCCTTCGTCTGGTCTCTGCTCCAACGGTGGGCAGGCTTGGAGGAGGGGGGAGAGGTGGCTCTGCAGCATTGGGATTCCGTTTTTGTATAGGGCAATTCCGGTTCCCCTTGTGACACGCACAGTCCACCTTGTAATTACTGCTCCAAAAGATAACCAGAAGTACCTGTCTCAGTACCCTTAACAATCAATTATACTGTCCATCTGTTCTTTTGAAACATTAGTATTTCCTCTGGCATCGTGTTTGAAACGGTGAAACAGAGCCACCAAAGCCCTATGAACACACCCAACATCCTGGTTTCCTATACAACCAGCTTCTCCCCTACACGTGGCAGAGCGCCAGGGACAGAGCAGAAACAGCCACGCTCATGTCATGTCCTCACTATGCACTTACTCTTCACTACGGTTTCCCACTTACTACCAGACTTTGTGTACCTGCGCTGAAGCATTTACCATGTAACCTTTCTTTGGGCTGAAAAGGGCCAAAGGAGAAAAAAGCATTTTAAGAACTGCATTATGCCTGTGTGTGTGAGACTTGCCACCTCTGATTTTCTGCATGTGTGTTCTTATATGCAGTTAAGAGTCCATGTTTTGACTGGCTGTGGCCAATCTTCAAGTTCTTATTCTGCACAGCCCCGGGCACAAAAGTATAGCAGAAACTATTGCTCTTAAGACACAGGCTGAAACCTCCCTGGTGAGCACGGTGCATGGTTTCATACTACATACGTGGGTGTATTTAAAAATTAAACAGGCATACAAAAAAGCAAGCCCTAAGACCATCTTTCCCACCACAATTTCTACCAGAAATATATTACTCATGAAAAGACTACCAAAAAAGGAAAAAAAACATAGTAAGGAATAAAAGTAGAATTAATAAGATAGTTTAGTATGTAAGACAACACCTTTCATGTTAAGACAGCTTTTCAAAGTCTTACCAGTTACTGTACTCATAATCAAATGCTATGGTGACCTCAGCATCCTTGGTGATGGCAGACACAGCATAGATACACAGATGAATCATCCCGTCTGCAATCATGTGTCTCACCTGTGTGGAGAAGGTTGCTAGTTTATCATATAGACCAGGAACTCTCTCTGAGAGGGAAGAACCTTCCACCCGAGTAATTTCTCCCATTTCATTATGGGAGTCTTGTTATTTAACTCCTCTATTTCACCAGCAACTGTAACATCATCATGATGCAAAGATGTGAGATACTCTTAAAAAAAGCCTGGAGATGCCAGAAACCAGGGGAAGACCACACTGCTTTACACCTCAAAGTTGTTTTCACTGCATCAGCGAAGTAAAAGCCCTTAGCTTATTAGGAAAATTATTTGAATAATCTTGCGGAATCTGACGTAGGTGCATTCAGTAACAAACTCTATATAGACTATCTCAAGACAATCAGAGTCTTAAAAATTGCAACCACTCAGTTTGGGTTCAACGAAGGCAAATTTTATCATGTGGTGACTTTAACAGAACTTCATTCAGTTCTTAAAAAGCTCTTTTTCTTCAGCAAATGCTAACTCTTTAACCCCTCCGCACCTTTATTTCTGCCATTTCAAAGGAGTCAGAATCAAACCATTATGTTTGGTTTCTGTTTCTCACAAAAAAAGACCATGCCCACCAGCCACAGACCTTCAAGGGTGGGTGCTTCAGCAGGCTTGTCCTTTGGAGGCTCCAGTCAGAAACAAGTTGCTACAGAAATCTTACCTCCGCATTTGGTGTACATGATCTTCTGATGAACCGAGCGTCATTACCGAAAGTACGTGCATCCACACACATCTCCACACCGTTGAATTTTGAGTAGAAGAGCACAAAGGGGTATGGTCTGGGGAGACAAGTAAACTTTCTTTAACTCCCAACAGGAGCACGAAGGCCACCCCTTGATTTCAAACACGAAGCACGTGCAGCCCTTTGCAAACACAGAAAACATTGCAAGCTTGTCTGCTTTTGATTAAACAAGCACAAAGCAAGTGCTTAACTTGGCAAGGAGTTGCCACCACGTTAGACATTCACACAACTGCAGATTTGCACTTTTCCACCAACAGCAGCAGCTATGCACTTACTTAACTGCAATCTCTTCTCCAAGAGCACCCTGGACACCAGACACGCTTTTGCAGCCTTGCTACTCAGCCAGGCCCACAGCCCTCCCTGTTGCTTCATAAAGGATGGTCTTACTTTTTGAAGAAATGCCCATTGACCTCAAACTGCTGCCGTAACATGACTTTCCCTCGATATTCTATGATCAGAGTGTCCAAGGCCAAATCTCTCGCAGCTCTTAGGATCTTCCGGTGCTTCTGAACGCGAGTGACTCTTCCCAGTTGCAGCTGAATAAAACCAGAGGTCAACATCAGAAAACAGGCAACAGCAGCTTAGTCGACAACAGTTTCTCTTTGAGAGGCAGGACTACCTCCGGGATTATCTGTATATACTTAGCTCGGTGACCAGAAATTTTTTTACTGTAAGTGACAAATTAAGTTTCTAAAAAAAGGAGAAATTTTGAACTTGATAAAAACTCAGTATTACTAGGAAACAAGTTCCATCTAGTGACTCTGTGGCCTGCCAAAAAGGCAAGAACAATATATGATTAAGATGGTAGTGGCCTTATGTCTAATGTAAAAATGAAACAAATAAGAACCATTATTCTTAACTCTTACTGAAGCTGTCTATAATTTCCTATCCTAATTTACCTATTTTTAATTAATAAAGACCACTCAAAAATATGTTTCCAGATAGATTCCAGTTACCATAATGAGCTTTTTGGTACACGATGACTAAGAACTGGCTAATTTTGCTATTTTATAGCCTTAGACATTTGAAAGAAATAACCATCCCAAATAAGTCATCTTTCCTGGACTCTTAAAAATCTCCACTTACTCAGTATTCGAGCCCTTTGTTCCTTACCTGCATTTGGGAACCAATAACTGTATTATTACAGGCCAACTCAGTCTTATTAATAGTGTCTAAAATAGCAGGTTTGCCCACAAATTCCTTGCTAGAGTGTAGATGCTGTTCCAGGGCGTTCTGGACATCTGCACTGTACTGGTTAGTGAAAGCTTCTTCATACTGATCAGTCCACAATCTTATCCGATTTTCCCATCCCTCAGTTGTATTCTCATCTAAATTCTGTGCTTCAGAAGGAGAATTCTGTGGAGAACAAAGGTCAGGTAGGTTAGGAGAAACTGTGTGAAAAAACAGAGGGGACGGGGATGAGCTGGGGGAGACAGTCGCAGCCAGCCTGAGTTTCCAAAGAAAATTTGTTTTTACTTGGCATTTGGTGTGGCAAAAAAAAAAAGGTAACCTTGGGATTCATGAGGTCTGGCTTCTATGCTGGTTTTGTTACCAATGAGCTATGAGGCCTCGAATAACTTCTTAGGAAAGCTCAGTTTCCTCACTGATAAGTGGAAGCTAGAGGAGATTGCGATTCCATTCTATCACTGTGATTCCCTGACCATTTTAAGTAAAAAATAAAATTTGTGCCTATTGGAAGAATGACATTAGGTTTCTCACAAACGGAAATTTTGAGCCACAAATGTCACAGTACTTAAATTTTCACAATCGGTGAACACTGTTAATGTGTTAGCCCAAACTGGTACTGTTTCACTGCTCTCCGGGGAAGGTATTTTTGTGTGTGACTGTTTCCTATTTTTGTTATTCGATCAATACACATGCACTATAAAAATATATGTGACACAAATAAATAACCTCATCTTGCTTAGGAAGAGGTATCACTTGGGAGTGTACTCTATTTTAGCTTAAAGAGCCACACTCTGAGTCCAGGGGAGGAAAGGGAGGGTGTAGGTGTTGAGAGGTACTCTGGTGGGCTTCTCCAGGAAAACACTGCCCCTCACGTGACACAGGCCTGAGGAAGATGACTGCGTTTCAACATCACCCGGGACAGTTTGTGCTTGAGCAACGCGTCAGCTGAAGTCTGACACATGTTCCCCTCGTGGTGGACGAGACTTAGGGCGCCATCAGAAAACAGAACAAACACTGCTAGTAATGACACCACACCAGTGATGACGGCAGGAAGACACTGTCAGTCAGTACCCACAGCTACTTGCAAATCCAAGTCCACAGTAACTGTGCAAAAACAGTACGAGGAAACCGAATGCACGCTCAATGAATGAGACAGAAAACAGTTATGCCTGCGCAACGACCACTTTCTTTCCCTCCTGTGCCACTGGTTTTGACTGACTATTGTCTATCATGCCTTCCCTGAGGAACAGGGAAATGGAAGGAAAAAACACCACCACTTCTCCATTTTCCACTATAATCCAGAAACAGAACAATAAACACAGAGATCTATGAGACACCTTCGGCCAACACGTGGGGAAGTCACTTGCGGAGGTGTAAGCAGCAGTTGAGCGAAAGAAAAATGCACACCTGAGCCCTGAGGGCGCGTCTGAGACTGGGCCTGGAGGTGCCCCCACAGCACCCAGGTCTCAGCAGCCAGCGGGACCACGAAGCCTAGGGCCCTGCAGCCTCTGCGGCAGTTCTGGCTGCTGCTCACGGACCCTGGACAGCCACTCGCCATCCCCATCTCTGCTCAAGGTGGCTGCGCCTCAGCAGGCGACAGCGGCGGTTCTCAGCCAGAGCTGATTCTGTCCTCATGAGACAGACGGTAATATCTGGCCATTTCTGACCATCACACGTGGATGTGTGTTACTGTCACCTAGTGAGGTAACTGCCAGGGAGACTGCTGGTTACTGAACAATAAAGAAGACAAGTCTCCCTGGCCCCTAACAAAGAATCACTTAGCTCAAATGTCAACAGAGTTGAGGCTGAGAGACCCTGCTTGAGAGTAATGTTTTCAGTTGTGAGGCTCTTGATTTGGGGATTAAAATGTCAAATGGTAAATTCCTCTTATTCTGGGATCCCACCCAGCTCTTTAGTGGAATTTTTACTAAAAATTAATTCTGAGTACAAAACTTGTAAACCCAATTTAGAATTGTGATACGATGATCAAAATGAACGAGTATTTTTTATTAATTAAATTTAATTACACTTATGGGGTTATCTGTCAATGTTCCACATTTGGGATTCACATGGAATTTTCTGGGAGAATGACTTAATAGCTTTCAAAAGGTTTGAACTTCTCAAGGCAGGTTTCTGGAATTAGCAGATAAAAGAGAAAAGGGCTTATCAAAGCCACATCTTCCTCATCTATTTCAGGGGTCCCATCGTGAAATGAAACAAAAAGAAAGACGCTAAAGTGTCCCTCGTGGAGGACAAACCCGGCAATGCGGTGACTGTGTTCCGAATCCCCAGCCAGGACTCGGAAGCACAGTGATCTCTGTGAAGCCCCGTCACGGCCGCTCTGCACACACGGAACCAGACACACGCGCAGCAACCTCAGAAGCCTGTGCCGTGTCACTGAAATGTTTGTGCTGTGTAGCAGGAAACACCCTTTGTTTTACATTACTGACGTTTTAGGGAAATGGACACTGAAGAGCGCTGAAGCAGTCCCTAACGCTACTGACAGGCTCTGCGGCTGTGAGCAGCGACCCGCGGCGGGCTGTCGGCCGTACACACGGTGGGGGGTACCAGACAGCACACGCTCATCGCTGGCAAGCTGTGCTCTTACCACCAGTTCCTTAAAGTCCACTTAAACCACCGCACATAACTTGTCGATTCTCCAACCACTACCCAAAATCATACCTCAAGAGCTTTCATTTGAAAAACGAAGAACAGAAACACTAGCATCTCCTGAGTCTTCTCTTTCCAACAGAACACAACCAAGAAAAAACAGTGCAAAGCAACCAGTCACTCCAATAAAAGTAATCGCTATCAACACTACTTTTCTGTGGATGAAGTCTAGGCTTCCAACTGGTGACTGAAGCCCAACAGTGCTGGGGGTGGGGCGGGGAGGGGCACACAAGAGACCCTCGATCACAGAAACACCCCGGCCCTGAGGGTGAGGCTGAGCATAATGGCAGAACACATCAGTCTCCTTCTGTCTGGTAAAGTATCACCGGTCGCCTAGAAAGGCAGCTAATGAAAAGCCAGTAAATGAAGGCTGATTACAGAAGGGAAATACTTCAGAAAACGCCTAAGGAAATCCACCTTGGAGCAAGGCTCTGTGGAAACTGAACGGCAACGGTTACAAGCTAACAAAAAGCAGAGTCAAGATTCCCAGACCATCGTGTCAGGAAAGAAGCTGACCGAAATGCAAGATCACAGTGGAGTAACACAGCAGGGAAGAATACCCCTTACCTTCATCCGCAAGGACTTCCGGGATCCCTCTCGAAATGCCTATCCCAAAGAGGAAAACAAGTAGAACAAAACAAAACTTGGTACCAAGAATGACAGTTATACCTAGCTGAGACTAAAACTAAGGCAAGAGCTAGTGTCTATTTGTCCCCTTTCCCGAGGTAACAAGTACGATGGCTTTCCCCTCGTTGTGAAGAAGAGGGGCAGCTCGGGGCCAGTGAGCTCGGAGGCCAATTACAATACCTTCCACTCTGGAACTAGCTAATTAACAGGGAAGAGCATGCATCAGCTAAACACTCTACGTACCCTGACACTAAAAGAAAAAGTAAATAAAAACGTTAAGTCAGGTTGCAGATTTACCAGTTTTGGAATTAAGAAGGAAACAAAGACCAATCCCCTTAACAAGGGGTGGGCAAGTCACCTAGGAACCAACAAGGTTGCCATGAGGGGAAGAAAGACACAAAACAGAAGAGGTTCTTCCTGGAGACCTTGTAGCTGAGAATATAGGAAAGTGACCACAATACTAAGGAAGCCTAGACCACTCAAGAGATGCTTCCAGATTTATTTTTTTGAAACAAGGAAAACAACCAACCCAATGACATGAGGCGGGAACGTGCAGGCCAGGGTTTCATAGGCTGCTTAGGGCCGGGGGCACACGTAAGGGCAGTGACGTCTAGACCAGGGGCTGCATCACTTGGTGGGGGAGGGGGGACGCGTACCACACGGGGCTGGGATTTCGTGCCTGGGATGGGGGCTGGAGTACAAGAAACTGTGCCAGTGGTGATGGTATGGAGTGGCATAAGAGAGGTTGGTCTATATATTCATAAACACTTGAGCCGAATTTTGTAAGGAGAACAAAGGTGGCCCTCAAACACCCGGAGCAAACATCTCACAAGAATTCTGGTGCATCCTTGGTCCAAAATTTGAGCTATTTCAGACCCATTTCTATTCCGATACTTTTATCCTCCATACCTTGGTTTTCTTCGTCTTTGGTGCTGCACGACCCTTTTCTGGACTCTTTTTCCGCTTCTTGGGTTTGGTTCTTCTGACGGTCAAGGTGATGCTAGTCGGTGTGTGCTGTGTTGCTGTGTACAACACAGTGGAAGGAGAGAGCTCCTCATCCCAGCTTTCTGTTGCACTGCTATCCCCACCTGAAAAGAGGTGATTCGTGGTTCACACCGTGCAGCCAGCCTGTGGCTTGCGCAGGAAGCAGCAGCTTCTTCAGATCTACGCCATTCCCACAGAGCCATCACCCCTGCCTCAACTCTGGTCACCCGGAACACACTTACCTTCTGTAAGAAAACGAGATTCCTTCCGTCTCTCTGGCCTTAAGACCATTAACCCTGTTCTACAAAATACCCCCTTGTATTCAGCCCCAAATGCAATGTGTGACATAGAAAAGGGATGTTTTTTAATGTTCAATAGGAAAACTTTGGTTGTTCACAGGGACAATTACACAACGGCCTTGAGAGAAAAACTTTTGCTCTTCCCATGAAAAGAACTGGGAACAATGGGGGCGCCACAGGAGGGCTCTTGACAAGAACACTGAGATCACAAAGTATTTATAGGTCAAAACATGGGCCTAACCCATCTTCTGCTCACCTGATATGTTGTCCTGCTTCCGCCGATGAAGTCTAATAACCTTCCCCCTGCTCATTCCCCTAAAGAGGGAAAATAGACTTAAAGTGGTCCTTCCGACAGCACGCAGTACATCCTCGCACAAGGGAGAAGTGTCTCTGCACATCCTACCCCTTCCTCCCACCTACCAAATGTTTCCAGGACATTAAGTCTCATATCAAATTCAATAGCTTTAACATCAATCTCTCATTCCTTGTTGTCAGCAATTCTCACCTAGTGCAGAGAATTCGAGCCAAGGAGCACTAAGGAATCATCTACATTAACAAACACAAGAAAGAATACTTTGAGCTTTTCCCTACTAGTGAGAAACCCTGACCCCAGCAACCCGAGCGTGAACTCAGGCGAGATGTGGGCTTACCTGCACTTGTCACAGTTGAGGAGGAAGCCATCCTGAGAAAGACCACAAGGACACCAGGTGGGGACGGTCTCTCCTTCAGAGTTCGGGCTGTCTCCGCAGCGCTCCTCGACTGGCGACGGCAGGCCGTTCAGGTCAGAGCGAGGGATGATCGTCTGGACAGGGGGAGAAGCAGGAGGTGTCGGAGGAGGAGGGGCTCCGTAATTATGATCCTGAAAATAAGATTTTTTAAATCAACAGTGTCCAAACACTGGCCCCTCTCTCCCCTAAAGTACGGTACATATGGAAAGAAAGAAGAAAGTAGTACCCTTCGCTTTTTGGCTTCAACCAGGAAAGTGATAAAACAAAATGCCAAGGTCAACTGGGACATAAAAACAAGAACAATGATGCAGGGCTAGACGTCCGCTGGAGGCAGGGAAGTGCAAAAGGGGCAACTTCGTCATGCTGCATATAAACATTTCAAGAAAGTCACAATGTGCAAGAATGGATTACACTCCAGGAAGATCACTGCTCTGGAGAGAAGCAAATGCATACTCACAGCGTAAGGCAGTCCTCGACACCCATGCCTCTGAGTGGTCCCATAATTATGAGTGGAATACACGCTCTTCTCATTAACTGCTGGACTAGCCTCCACAGATTCAGGGCTGCACAAAGGCGAAAAGCAACGCATGATAGCATAACACCTAATCTTCCCTTAAGTCAGCCTTAGCTTCCCGTTCTACCCCCTCCACTTTCCACAACCACCAGCCACTAGAATACGAGAAAAACGGCGTGAAACAATCTGAGGAGCATGGCTAAGCCTACGGACAACAGGAGGGCTATCAAATGTGGGCTGTGTGTGACATGAGGCCAGCACAGGCAGGTGTCTCAAGGCGGGCACCTGGGACACAGGCGTCCCTAATGACAAACACAAACGTACCAGCTGAGCGGGGAGTTTCCCCTAGAGAAGCCACTCTGGGCTGGTTTAGACTCAGAACTATTCTTCTTAATTGGATCTCTTAATACTTCCATGAAACCTCACATGACATTTGCAGTGTGAGATGATGAAAGTGCCTTCTGCACTGCCCCAGGGCCAGGCCCTCGTCCATTCACTACCAAGACAGGACACCCTGAGGAAAGTACAGGTAAAAACAATGGCATCTTATAGTTATCACACCTCTCATCTTGATGAACCCCAATACCTTTCACATATTAGAGTAATAATTTCTCATCCACCAGTGACATGCAAGCATATCAAGGACACATTTATTTAACAGCTGCATGGTAATACCACAGAACTTCAAAATAATCAAAGCTGTACCTAAAAGTTACGTTAGCCCAGTGTTAAGTAAAAACAAGTGGTGGCTACTGTCTGAAATTTCCCGTATTTGCTAGGTTCCTTATATACATCATCCAACTCATCCCTGCAATTACTAAACATGGTATGTAGCATCTCATTTTTACAACAGGAGCTCAAGGTGAGGTGGTGAGATTATGTGACTTCACAAAAGGTCTCTGACTCCAAAGTCAGTTCTGTTTCCACTATGCCTAATTTATTTGTAAAACAAGGTAACAATCTACCTAAAAAAAGTTATATGACCTTAACCAGAGTTAGTGAGAAGCATGGTTTTTGTTTTTTTTTTTTTTAAATAACATCAACGAATGGAAAATAAACTGGTCAAGTGCAAATTGCTAATATAAAAGAACCATAAATGTTTAATTTCAGGTATTAATGTAAGTCTTTACTTGATAATAAAGCAAGGCATTGGTGGCTGAGGACAAAGGCCCAAGGTTTTGCGAAAAAAACCCATTTAGCTCTGATTGCTACCTGGTTAGGGTTAGAATTTTGCAAGTTAATATGAATATGCGTGTAGACTTTGCAGAATAGAAGAACGGATTATCTATCATTTAAATTAACCAGCGCAGAGATTCACACATTGGAGATGCCAAAGACAAGCATAACTCTCATCTTTAGAGACCAAAGGGTCATTCAGAGAATCAAATAATACAGTTTGCTTCAAGTAACATACATTTTTCCTGCTTAGAAATATACAACACAGGTAGCAGGAATACATGAAGTATGCAGTTCAACATGGTGCCATCAGCTGAGAAGTGAGGGGATAGAAGAAAACCCTTAGATACACATCCAACTCACCCAGTTATATGCTCCAATACTGTGAGAAGGGGTCTTATTAATAACAGCAAAGGTAATTTCTAGGTGAAGAAGAACTTTAGACACAGGAAAGTATTCTCTGTTAGTGACGGGCATGCACTTTATTACTTAAGTGTCTGTAAGATGGGAACTGGGGGTGTGGGGCATCAAGAATGCAGGTCAGTATTCTTGAGAAAAAGATGATCTGAACATGGTTCACTGAGAGGCAATCAGCTCTGAGTATTAGGAAACAGGTGGGGTTTCCTAAACGAAACCAAAGGCAGACAAGCATTAATAAAATGAAGTAGAGTTTACTCTATGATGGTTAAAGGAAAGTAACAGTGACTTCATACAACATTGTTAATTTACTAGATAAACAAGTATTCCAAAAAGTTCTCAATAGTTTATATAAGGGGGTTTGGATCACTGAACACATGGGGTGAAACATGACAGCCGCTCATCAGGAATGGATTTGTTTTTGGACGGGAAGAAGGAAAGCTGCGTGAAATAAAGATGGCCATGGAGATGGAGCTATGTTGGTTGTATCTTACCCATCTCCAAACTGGGTAAATATGAACATATGCACTTCATGTGCAAGTCTAGGAATAAAAATAAAATGTATATTGTGGAGGTTAACAGGCCATCCCACTGCACAATACTTCAGTCAAGCACAGCATCTACTATAATGCTATGCATGGCAACGACTAGAATTTAAGCTTCTAGGTTCCATTAAAAAAACAAAACAAACACACACCTTTGCGATTTCCATAGTAGGTATTACATAGCTACATGTTGCCAGATTTCCTGTGTTTCTTAACACACATACATATGTATACACACATGCAATACATTTATGTATACATACTCATAAAGGAGCTTCTTATCTATATTTTAAAGTATGGATTAAAAATTTGGGGTGTTACATCTCTTTATTAGTCAATCATTTTATGCGAATGTCATCACAGCCTGTCTTCTCCAGTGTCTGAACAGAAGCCATGCTCACAGCAGACAGACTCCATCAATTGTGTCCTAAGCACAATGTGCAAAGGGTGCTATCGTGCTCCCTTTGGAAAATATCTCAAATTTATTATCAGAGGACTGTCAGGTCTTTCCTTCTATTGTTACATTTAGAGGTTTTACTACAATTATATTATGGAAAAATGCGTGCTGCACACTGTTGCCATCAGGTCGAAGGTTCCACGAGACCCTCGCACTCTGTTCAGCATTTTGCCCTGCAGAGCTAGCTCCCGGACACCTGGCCACGTGGACAGTGGAATATGGGCAGCGGAGGTCATCAATAACTTAACGGAACATATCTATGCTGCTTGTTGACATTTTTTTTTTTTGGTTTGTAGAAATATTAAATGAGCAGCTGCATTTAGTTTTGAACGTAGTAGGGTCAGAAAGCTGGATGTTAGGTAGGAACATGTTTCGGGTAATAAAAATGCAGTCCAATAAATGGTCAGATCAGAAAAACCTTTTCTTCATTTGCTTTTGGACCCCGCAGAAACATGTACCTCTCAGAGGCAGTCACCTCTGTACACTGGGGTAAAGCACCCGTTTTAATAATACTGGCTTTAGGTCCTTTCGTATTTAAAAATTCCCAAATCTTTGATTTTAAAACTGTACTGAAACTACTCACAAATGTTAATGAAGACTAACCAGAGAGCTGGTATTCAATCCCTACAGGAGAACAGTGGGTACTAATGAAGGACGATTTTTAAGTACTTTATTTGGGAAATAATTGTAAATTGGAAGTCTCAGTTATTGATTGGTATAGCTAAATCTCTTTGGCATGCAACACCCCTCCCCCAACAAAACAAACAGGAAAAAAATAACAGACACCCTGGGAGGAACACAATCCACCCTTTCCCACCCCCCGCCCTTCCCTTCCTTGATATATGGGAATAAGGCTGAAAACTACTTTTAATTCTAGACTACCCCAGAATATAAAATATTGCTTCTTAGGGTAGTTTTAGTTCAAGTCTTCCCATTTAAGGAAGTCAATATACAGTTAAAGTATCCTTGGTGGTTTTGTGAAGAAATATACATGCTCTTCAATATTTCAGTTTTAAGGAAGAAAACCACTATTAACCAGGAATGCAGGTGAACCCAGAGTTCTGGTACAGTTGCTTTGCTTTGCTGAGGGAGAGGGGAAGAATCCCCAGGGACTATGAAAATGGCAAGAGAAACAGGGGAATTAGAGCAACACCCACCTCACTCAAGAAGTGGCTGTGGGATCAAGAGTCTGAACTGGACCTGAACATATTCAAAACACCAGGATTTTTCCAGCCCAGACCCTAATCCCTGGTACTGCCTGGAATAGACTTGGCTTCTGGGGGTGTGCTGCCCCCTAGGCCCCTTGGGTCTCTTTCGCTGGACTTTCACATCCTGGTGTAGTGCCACTTCGTCTTGAAAGGTAGGGGGCTTCCACTTCCTTTCTGTAAGCAAGGAAGATCGGGTACAAGGGAGGTGAAAGGACAAGAGGGGGAATCTGTGAGCAGGGGTCTTGGACAACTTAAAAGAGAAGGGATACATACGGCTAAAAAATTTAAAGCTGTGAATAATATATAAAGTTTTATAATGAAGGCCTACCTTCATTTGCATTTGGCATTTAAATTCTTCAAGAATTGAGAGTCTATTTTAGGGATTGGGCTTTTCGACAAACTCTGAATTCCTAAAGCTGCTCTTAGCTGAAAAAAAAGTTTGGTACCACTGATTTTGAAGGTCCTCTTTCTAGGCAATGAGTATTATAAAAAACAGATGACACTGCTTTCCATGTTTTCTACCCCAAATGTCAGAAGGTCTGAGCAACCTGCCCAATAAAGTTTCAGCCCCTTTAACTCTAGAACAGTAAGAAATACATAGGAAGAGGCCTTCAAGGAAAATCAGTTGGAGAGAACGCCTATCTCCATCCATAACCATTACACACTACAGAAGCAGGTAGTTAACACCTACTTGGTTCCAATCTTCCCCACCCATCAAAACCAAATAAAAACGTGACCACTACTTTGCAAATTTAATTCGTTCAGTATTTACTTTGAAATCCCACCGCCCCCAATTTCTCCTCCTGCCTATTCTAATTCCTCCCTCACCCCTTTAGCTTTTCTGGGGGTAAGGGAACGGTCTATTGTCACTTTTAAGTGGGCTAGTTTTGACTTAGAAAATACTATGTATTTATTATTAGATGCCCATAAGAAAACTGCCTCCACACAGGCTGGTAATGTACCTACTACCTAGGAAGTAGCACTTACTCTGATCCAGCAGCCATATCTGAGTAGGATGTATCTGGTGTGGTGACTCCCAGAGGGATTGCAATGCTCATGACGTCCAGCACGACAGAGTGGAAATCACGGGGTCCAATTAATGGAGACTGGCCACTCTGAGAGTGGGGGCGAGCTGCAGAGCCTCAACCAACATGTTATGGACATGAGGAACCCTATCACAGAGAAGGAAAATAAAATGTAGCAGTCAAATTGTTCTTTAAATTGATCCCAAATGCTGCTGAATGCTTCCCACTTCTGCACAAGGCTTTATAAGAGAGAAATATAAATGGCAACATTTACAAAGCAATTATAATACAAAAGAAATATAGTACCTTTCCATGTTTACTATAAACTGAATTAATGTTCCACCACGTGAGGGGCAAAACAGCACACTTGTTTTTCATTTCTATGTGGTTCTTTTCTTTTTAGATAAGGGAAAGTGACTGTCTGCCTGGTTCATTATTAGGACCCCCCCCACCCCAAACCAGAATGGCTCATCAAACCAGAATTTCTGGCACCCTATGATTTTAATTTCTAAATTTTAAGAAATACCAGATTAATTAAATGCTTGAACAATTCAAGGTATTTAAACATTTCAAAGCAAATAAATGCAGTATTACCAGCAGCCACTAATGCTATTTCTTCCAAATTAAATACGCGAGATCAATCTGTTTGTATCTGACTGGATCAACTTGTTCCCTATTTTCTTCTGTCATGAAACACTCTCTTCTTCTAAACCGTCTAATTTTAACAACAATTTTTGGAAGATGCAATTAGCTTAACTGTATTTATTAGGTAATATTCACAGATTGGTATGAATAAAAACATCAACCACTAAGAGTAGATTCAAGATACAAACAAGAAAATTTTTATGAAAAAGCAGCTGAGGATATCCTGAACTGGTGACAACCATTATTGGAATTTGAGAACAGAAAAATTCACAATTACTTGCATATAAAAAAACCAAAAGTAAATTGAGTTTTGGAGATAACAGTACAAAGAAAAAAACAGTAATTTTATGATTTTACAGTGGTTTTATAGTAATGCAAAAACCATTAAATGAATGAAAGAGTATTTTATGTGGTATATAAGGAAATCAATCTGAATGTTAAGAACGAGATAAAGGTTCTTGTAAAAAAGACTACAGGGTTCTGGCTGATAGGACTCTAGCTCATTAAGACAGTAGAAAAAGAAAGCAACTATATGAAAAAGTTAAATGGAACAGAAAGTCCACAGCAGTAATTTGAGTAAATTCAGGGATGAAAGCAAATTTTAAGTGGCAGCCAACCTGAGATGCTTGACCCTTTCTTGATAGATAGCAAATTACCAAACTTTATCAGGCAAGCACTTTTAAGGACATGCAAAGAGAGTACTGTTTGCTTGAATTACTTTAGAGTAAGAGAACAGCGCTAAACTAACACAGGCTCCTGGAACCACGCTTTGAAAAGGCTGGCCTCCCCAGGGCAGCGGACTCTCTTCTGGGTGTGGCAATACTCTTCCTCTACTCGCCGGGCAGGCGGTGAGAGAGAGCTAAGGCTGGACCCCAGAGGCCTATCCTACTCTGTGCCCTGCAGCTCCTGCTAGAGTGGCCCTGCCTTCGCCTCGCCTCTCCATTTGCTCATTTGCTTGCTTCCCCAGACCATATGCCAGAGATTTAAAATCACAGCCTTCAAGTCTCTGGGAAGTTGAAACAAAATCTACAAATGCTAGTTTGATGTTATCAAACAAGGCCAAAAGAAGCTACTGTAGAGAATTATTGGCTACGATTCTTTTGCTAATTCTAGTATCACTGTATAACTATAATTTCTTTTTTCTTTTGTATCATTGTGCTTTATTTAAAAGGGAAGAACACCACCCCACCCGATACCTGGCTTTTTTAAAAACAATCTAGATCTATCGGACTAGATAAGCAGAAGAGAGTCTAATAATAATGATCATCCTTAGTCTGACCAACACAGAATCTGAATTATGTATTATAGCTCCAATAAAGGACCAAAAAGTTACTCAACACCACTAAAAATCCTTAGCCATAACGGTGATGATATATGCCTGTAAAAGAAAAAAAAGAAAAAGAGGGGGAGGCTTTTCAATATAAGACAGGAAGTTAATTCGGCTAATACCCCTTTCATGAAGGAATACTTGATTACTCTGTCCTCTAGTGCAACTACGACCCTGCCACCCTGGAAAGCTGAAACGCAGCTTTAAGAAACACCAGAGGAGACTGACTGGCTCATGTGGCTTCCATTTTCCTCTGTCTATGCTGACACGGCCCTTCCACCCCTTTGGATGAAGGCGGTTTGTTATTAGGTTAGTTTGGCCATCTTGTTCTTTGAAAAGAAAAGGCTTTTACATTATTGGGGTATTTTAGATTTAAGAAAACAAAACCAATTCCTTCCTTCCTTAAAATAATACTGTGCAAAAGGCAGCTATTGAAATGTTAACTGAAGAACTTTTGATATCCAAAACGCAGTAATTTCACATTGCAGTTACTCCAGATTTATAAATCAAGACAACAGATTCCTAGTATAGTTTACAAGCTCACTATTTATAAGAGCTATTAATTTATCACAGTCTGGAGATGTGTCCTAGAGAGCGAGGAGTATTAATTTTGTTGCCAAATGGAACAATTTCAAGGTATCTTCTATGTGTTAATTCCTCTTTTTCTATCAGAATACAAAGTCTATGAGTACTGGAATTTTTAACCCTCTGCTATGGTGTCTGGCACAGAGAGGGTATTCAAGAAATATATGCTGAGTAAAGTATGATCACCGTTATCTAAATGTAGGATTTTAGCTAACATTTACTAAGATACAAAAATCAAAGCTAAAGGATTTTATTTGGCTCAGTCACCTTTTTTGTAGACCTTTGATTATGAAGTCCTAGAAAGTGATCTTCCAGGAGCTCTGAAGACCTACAAAAAGTTGAAACACAAATTAGTATTGAAAGAAATCACAATACTAGACAAGAGGTATTTTGGACACAAAGAACGAATACCATTTTAAAATAATTTATTTCATTTTTCTATACTGTCTGACTTCTGTTCACCTCTCTATCTTACCTAGTTCTGTGTTTCCTTTATACCATTATTTTAGGGTAAAGCCAGGGCTTAAATAATGGATGCATAGGGAGGTTATCTCCACTTGACTAAGAAGGAACAAAAGCTATTTTTTTAAAAAAGATTTATACATCAGAGCTGGGGTACAGGCCAGAGGCACAGGGGTGCTGAGAGGAGTCACCTGAGACAGAGTGGGGAGCATAACAGGCCCACTGAAGAAGTCCACTGCTGAGGGAGCAGCAGGCGGGTCAGGAGAGGTCTGCAGAGCCATGAGGTTCACCTCCAGGGCAGGGATCAAACTCATGCTGAGGTGACTTTAGCTTCTTAGTGCTGCAGCTTTAACCCGCTGCACCACCAGGGAGGGCCACAAAAGTTATTTTGTGTCACCAGGCAATACTCTACTCTTCTAGTTGGAAACATCTCCTAATCCCCAAGGGGCCCTTTCTTTTAATCTCTCCTAGGAGGTGCTCAGTGTTCTTCTTTCTTGCTGAACCTTTCCCAAATTCAGAAGCTGTTCTTTAACCAAATTTAAAATTTACTGTCCAGACAATGGCTTGCATCACCCATTAAAAATCAGTTCATGTTACTCCTTTCTTCTCCCCTAACTCTATCCTACCCATCTTGTTTTACTACAGAGAAAGAATGGCAGAAGTTAATCCCATCTGTGGTCAACTCCAGAGGAGCAAACGGGAAAAGTTCTAATTAAATTTCTACCCTCCAAAAAGGAAAGTAAAGCAGGTGATGACCCAAGACTATTGGGGAACACATTCAAATTTAACAGCCCGATGGGGTACTGACATCTGAAATGGTGTTAGAGCATACCTGTGAGAAGAGGCACTTGTGGGGAGTCCGGATTACCATGCACTAGAGAAAAAATGTACTTTATGTCGGTGTTTTATAGGTTTCGAATAACGAAAGGAATAAAGGTAATATAAGAGAAAAAAAACTTAAACCAAGGAAGAATTAGGTTTCTTTAGTAACAAAACTATCAGGAGGCAGGAGGAAAAAGAGAAGTAGGGGAAAGTGAATGCATCAGAACTTCAGTGATATCGATCTAGTCATTTCCAGAACAATTCAGCAGAATCCACAGGAATACAGCAAAGTTCTTGGATTCAGAGGCCGAACCTGCCTTTCTCCCAATACCGGAGAACTCTTTTGGAAGTTACCATTTACATTCAGTTTCTAAGGAAAAAGCTGTTAAATAGAATATGCCAGAAAGGGTTTATAATTACCCCTTGTCTTTTTAATTGGGTTCAAAATAGTTTCTGCATGTGTCATTCTGACAGTTCTTCTCTATATGAGGTGCTGAAAGCATAAGACCCGTGTGATCTGTCTGGTCACTCAGAGAAGATAGACAAAGTGTTTTAAGAACAATTCCAACAGAGATTTCAGAAAAAGAAATTGCATCAGCCAGGTGAGCCGGAAGCAGCTGGGAGACAAGAGTCCAATAAACAGCCAGTGCAGTGAAAGGAATTCAGAACAAGTCTGCTTTAGTAATCCTGTGAAGAGGACTGGCAGGAAGAGGAGTGCCTCGCAGAGAACAGGCCGCATATGCTTCAGACAGTCTTTGTACTGAGGCTGTGGACCTTGGCCACTCTCCCAGAAATGATGCAATCCTGACGAACAAGCTCTGCTGCCAGAGAAACAATTGTTAACAGCCCCTGCAGACAGCAACTCAGCCAAAAAGCAATCTCTGATCAACTCTCTTCACAAACCACCAGAAAAGCAAAGACTCTTCCTCAATTTTGGTCTCTGACAAAACATGTACGTGAACACAGACTGAATAAGCCATTTCCCCCAAATATCCCTTTTCTTTGTATTCTTGCATGATGAAAATTTAAATGACACCGAAAGCATTTTTTTACTGTTAGGAATATAATTCTCTAAGCAAGGCATCTACATTAAGAATTTACACTCATTTGCCTTACTCTTAACAAGACAACATTGAGAGAGGTAGGAGGCCCCTGAGTATACAAGTCATTAGGCCGGTGGCGCAGCAGGTTGGGACACAGTGCTGCAAGCCAGAGCGGGTTTGATCCCAGCCAGGGGTGACCCCCAGGGCCCAGCAGACTCCGCTGCAGTGTACTTTTGTCAGTCAGCCTGCTCTGCTCCCCACTCTGCCTCTGGTGAATCTTCTCACCGCCCGCCCCTGCACCTCTGGCTGTACCGCAGTTTTGCGTGCATAAACAAATATATCTTCAAAAACAAACAAAAAAAGGTTACTCTGCAACCTATGGCCTAATTAAGAGATTTCCAAAAGGACTTGGTAATCCAGGGCCAGAAAGGTGTATTTTAGTGATATTTTGAAACTGTAAGAAGATTAACATTGACATTAGTGTTAACACATAGACATGTATGAAAGAAAAGCAAGTCTCTGCTTAGGCTGAAGGAAAGGCGGCTGAGCAATGCCGGCATGCTTGCAATGCCCAATTTTCTCAAGGGCAGCAAAACTTCAGGTCTTATAAGAAGGTTAATGAGTATTTTCATCTTACTAGTCACAACTTACTATTTTAGAATCTAACTTAAAATATCCTTAATTAAAAAAAAAAATCCTTAGGTTCCTCAACTCCTCAGCCCGGTTTCTTTGTCAGAGCTTTGATAGCAGGTTGGTCACAACAGTATTAGACATTTTAGGATTTTTGCCTCACTGAATAAACCTGCGTACACTGAAACTCTAAATTCTCACTAGCCAGCAATCATCATTATTCACAGTTCCTCCTTTCAAACACAATTATCAAACTGTGACTCATTAAAAACACAAGCACTTAAAATATCTTGAAATCACTATTTTGACCCTATAAACTATCAAAGTGAAAATTTACAGATAGAGTATCTGTGTAACTCTGAAACAACAAAAGAGCTTTAATAGGATAATACATTAATAAATTTTTCTCAGTAAAGAAGAAACATTTTGGGAAGTTTCCCCAGGGTTAAAACAGTCCTTAAGATCTGGTTTCTGGGCAGCTCACCAGCGGCCTCGCGACCACGTGGGCATTTCTGCTGTGACCCTCTCGCTCTCCTCCCCAACTGCCCAGCCAACTGTCCATGAAGGTGCCCCTCTCCTCTTCCTAATAAAACTGTCCTTTCAACTGGACCAAAAAAAGAAGCTCCAATCCTTGAATCTACTGATTATCCAAATTTTAGCTAGATGTGTCAGTGATATTTATTCCTACACATTCCCAGACTCCAGGTTCCTTTTTTAGAATGACTGTACAAAACAGTAAAAAAGGAGGGATGGGAAAGAACATTACATCTTTTTGGGTATGATCATTACTCTCCACTTATTAAATCATACAATAATTTAAAATGCAATAAACACGCAAGTGCATTTTACCTAACTTGGCTGAAGACGACAACCTCACTGTGTTACTTCTGTCTCTAACCAAGCTGAACACCCTGCAAAGACACACACACACACACACACACACACACACACACACACACACACACACAGCCTTTAACCAAAGGGAAATCGAGCAAAAGCATACCCAGGGAGTTAGGGATCTGAACGAGAGTCTG